TGAGAATAAGTCTCTAAACTAGCGGGGCATGTGGAAACACAGACCCAACAGCATTAACACTTTGAGCGTAGTTACAGTTAACAGTGAATATAAATTCTAAAACTGAATATATTGCATAGTGTCCACCCCCTCCACAATTAACAAGTGGTTCAGCCCATACCGCAGACTGGCTTTTTTTTCTTCTTCTTGTTTTCAGTAGCATGTGATGCCTGTGATTGTGCCAGAGCACATTTTGAACAACACCATGGGAATTTCAGATTTCACACAGGTGGTTGGTTGTTACACTCTGGAAATGGAATGAGGGTGATTGTCATTAACCCTCTGGAGTCCATGGACATGCCGCACCTCCAAATCACGTGACTGATATAAGCTGACATCAAGCCGCAGAGTCTCAGCCGGTGTTTAAAGTTCTGACTTCAAAGTATACACCGGTGTTTAAATTTTAATGACAGGGCACTAAATCCAGAGTTTTATGATTAGAAAGTATATATAAGCAATGCTTTTTTCTAAATACTATTGTCACGTTTTTCTTTTTTTTTTTCTTTTTTAAAAAGCATTTTCTAATGACAGCGCGAAAACAGTAAAGAAAAAAAATAGCCACCTCTTTGCTATTGGTGGAAAAATGTACCATGTCGACCAATTAAAAAAAGTCAACACGTGGGATTTGGTTGTTTAGGAAGTGGGGCACGTTTTGGGAGTGACGGCAGAGAGACAGAGCGAGCGAGTGAGTAAGACAGAGAGAGATAGAGATATTGATAGCGATTAGATTTGGGAGATTTGTGACGTTTAGCGTGGAGTGTGTAGTTAGTGTGTTGCGTTCTCTTGTGTAGTTAGTCTGTTGTGTAGTCGTTGTTTTGTTTTGTGTCAGTGAGGGCACTAATGACTTATTGTGATACCTGATTGTTCTCTCAGTTCAGTTAGAGTAGTATTTTTAAATGGTTGTACAAAATTTAAAAAACAGCAGGTGTATTGGCTGCAAAATGTGTGCATAAGTTTTCCAAAATGAACAATTTATATTTGCATTTCAAGTTATAAAAATAATTTACTAAACATGTCTTTGGTTTTTACAATAAAAAAAAAACTACTACTAGGATTTTATGTCTTTTGTGTGATTTCAGATGAGTTGTGATAATACAGTATGTCAATGAAAAAATAACTGATTATACATGTGAATTCAAGTATAAACGTGAAGTGCTGAAAAGAATGATACCAAGCAAGGCAAAGGAAACAAATAAAATGAAGCAATTTAAAGGTGAAATACAAATGTAAAATCAAAAGGAGTCAAAAATAGCCAGTTATATTTTGGACCTCAGAGGGTTAACTCAACAAATCATGAAAAATTAGGTTTAAAACTTTGTTCATGACAATGCAAATTTCTGGCATTTTGTGAAACAATTTTTCTAACAAAAAACAGTGTGAAACTCAAGTTAGCTAGTTGAGCTACATATTTATTTATTATACAGGCTATGCAGTACATAAAATCAAAATTTGCACGTATTATGTAACTAAAATGTTTAATTATGTGGGCTACAGAAAATAATTAAGTTATAGACTATATTTATGGAAAAATGTGTATACTTACTGCATTTGAATCATTTTAACAATATGTAACCACCTGCATATGTGTGTAGAAAAAAAAGGCTTTGATTTTGCCACCCCATTTGTTTTCCTTCTCACCCTAAGAAAATTTCTCTAGCTCTCCCCTTGATCTTACCCCTTGGTAGTTACAAATATTAAACATTCACTGTAGGGAATCATCTTTGTGTTATTAAGCCCAGTGTGTAGAGACAACTAAAGGAGACCCCTAATGCCTTGCTTGCTTTTAATTTTTAAGGCACTTTTTTGCATGGAAGCCACATCCTTCTTTTATATACAGTCTGTGCAATGTGCAGATTTGGATAAATGTTTGTAACACAAATTTTGGATTAGGATTCAGATATGTGTGTTCACTTTTAAAAGAATGTGCTTTATTTTTACATAAGTGGATAATATATATTTTTTCATAATCAACCCTTTTAATATCTTGGATATCAGTGAATGCTGTTATTGTCTGGTTTGAAGACAGTTTGGAGTGGGGCTGCTAGGATGGGGGTGGGGGATTGTCAAAGGAGTTCTAGCATGTGAAGTGAGGAGCCAAAGAAACAATTGTGCAACTCTCTTCTATTCTCCTCGCTGTTGTTTCTATAGCCCCTCTTTTCAAGCTCAGTCAGACCATCACACTGCTCTGAAAGCCCCATTGCTGCACATCCAAAACCTCTCAATACCATTGCTCTTGTTCCCGTTTCGTCCATTTGCCAGCTTCTTTTGGAGGTGTCTGTTTAGAAAATATTCTTAAAAGCATGTCTCAATCTGACATTGTTCCTGTAGCAGTCCCTACCAACAGAGTAAATATACTGTGTCCAAGTTTCTCAGAGTGCCAGTGACTGTAAAACATGCCACATGCAGATAAGTGTTGCCATCCATTTAAAGCTGCTGTCAAGATTTGTTACTGCTGCCCATTACCAGCTCTGCCTTCTCTAACAAGAAGCAGCAGTGAGCTAATGTACAGTTGTAGCTGCTGGATGTTTGATCACTGCAGTGGCTGCTAAAACTGCCCCCCTCTGAGCTGGCACACACAGCAGAAAAGAGGCCCTTCTCCTGGTGGTGACTATTAACCACTGTTACCTCCACAGAGAAGATGGAGACCAGGATGAGGAAAAGTTAACATAGTGAAAGAGCCACATAAACAGAAGCATGGCTGGCAATGTAAAAGAGTGCTCAGCATTTTGGGAAATTCCTTTTTGTGTCACTTAACCTCACTGTGACTCCAGCAGCACCAAGCAGGTGTATAAAAGCAGTCAAGTTTGTATTTAACAAAATATTTATACTTGAATGATATATAGATTAGAGATCAGTGGCTTAACAAAGAATCCATTTTTGTCAAATTGGTTAGGTACAAGGACTGAAAATGTGTGATAAAGCAGGGAATGCCAAAAGGAACAATTTTAAAGAGCTACAGGAAGCTGGAGAACTGTTGCTCAAGAGCACTTGAGCACAAAAATACAAGAAAGTCTGACTCCTTGGATACAAACTGTGAAGAAGTGAGTTTTTCACAGTACTGCAGGCTAGCAGCTGTTCTGCTCTTTGCGGTAAATATGTATTCCTACACTAAACTAACCATTTCCCATATTCTCTTCTTTACTTCACTAATACACATATTTCTAACCCAAACTCTTTGTTTGATGAAAGAAAGAAGGATTTCTCAGTTCCTCTGAAAATAAAGAGAGGTTTTCAGTTTACTACCCCATCTCCCTCTCCTGATCTTTGAACATGTGGTTAGGATATAATTGTTTGTGTACACAGAGGACTGTTTTCCCATGAAAGGAAACTAAAAGAAAGTTACAGTGAAATCCTTCCTCCCTTTTACACATGGACTGGTTCTGTAAACGATCAAATATCGCTCCAAGCCATCACAGATAATCACTACAAGCCATGGCACTGTGAGGGTCTCACAAGTGTTTTCATTTTGATTTATACTAGGATCAACACAGAGTTTATACATCCTTTGTCCTTTGAAAACAGTCTAAGTCATATATATATATTTTCTCAATATTTTAGGTTTAAAGCGTCACAGTCTAATTAGCTAATTAATCCAAAACACCTGCATAGTGAGCCCTTTAAATGGTCTCTTAGAAGAGGTTGGATATTCCCAAAGTGCTCTATCAAAGCACATAAATAGAAAGTTACGTGGAAGGGAAAGATGCACAAGCAGCAGGCATGACCACAGCCTTGAGAGGATTGTCAGGAAAAGGAGATTCAAAAGTGTGGGGGACCTTCACAAGGAGTGGACTGAGTTAGTACATTAAGAGCCACCGCACACAGACGGATCCTGGACATGGGCTTCAAATGTCGTATTCCTCTTGTCAAGCCGCACCTGAACAACAAACATCAGAAGCATCTTACCTTGGCTAAAGGAAAAAAAGAACTGGTCTGTTGCTGGTCTAAAGTCCTCTTTTCTGATGAGAGCAAATTTCGCATCTCATATGGAAGCCAAGTTCCCAGAGTCTGGAGGAAGAGTGGAGAGGCATACAATCCAAGATGCTTGAAGTCCAGCGTAAAGTTTCCACAGTCTGTGTTGATTTGGGGAGCCATGTCATCTGCCAGTGACGGGTCTACTATGCTTTATTAAGTCCAGAGTCAGCGCAGCCATCTACCAGGACATTTTGGAGCACTTCATGCTTCCTTCTGCAGACAAGCTTTATGGAAATGCTGACTTCATTTTCCAGCAGGACTTGGCACCTGCCCACACTGCCACAAGTAACCAAAACCTGGTTCAATGACACTGGGATCACTGTGCTTGGTTGGCCAGCAAACTTGCCTGACCTGAACCCCAGAGAGAATTTATGAGGCATTGCCAACAACAAGATGAGAGACATGAGGCCAAACAATGCAGAAGAGCTGAAGGCTGCTATTTAAGCAACCTGGTCTTCCAAAGGCTGATAGCGTCCATGCCATGCTGCATTGAGGCAGTAATTCATGCAAAAGAGGTCCAAACCAAGTATGTATGATCATACTTTTTAGAGGTCCAACAGTTCTCTATTTAAAATCCTTGTTTTGATTTCATAAAATATTCTAATTTTCTGAGATTTTGAAATTGAGGTTTTCATAAGCTGTAAGCCATAATCATCAAAAAAAAAAAAAAAATAAAGGAATGAGTCTATATCATATTTTAGTTTGAACTTTTAAGTTGAATTAGTGAAATAAATAAACTTTTGCACGATATTCTAAATTTATGAGTTTCACCTGTGTGCGTACACACACACACACACACACACACACACACACACACACACACACAACTCTCAATGGTCATGAGGATTTGCATATTAATAATCAAGGAACTGACCTCCCAGTTCATTCAGGGGTGCTAGTTTTTCAGTCATTGTGCAAATATAAGATTGGGGAAACCTGCTTTCAGCTGAGGCTGAAGAAGTCACTTGGATGAACGTTTCTCCCACTGAAAACACTATCTCCCGATGAACAGAATCAACTTTTTGGGATATGCACCAGATAAGTTTGATATTGCTACATAGAGAAATCACATTATAAAACAGCTTTCAGTTTTTGATATATTGGCTGCCTAATGTGCCTTATCTACAAAGCTGTAGCCTTCAGTGGAAATGCAGAACAAAGGTACATTATCCTTGTAAATAAAGTTTCCAGGTGGGAATGCTGCTAAAGTACTTTATAAGGAGTTCATACACCTATGGCTTTGCCAGAGTTAACCAATTAGATATAACACGCTCATTAATGGCAGAGGCTGTATGCCCCCACCCTCCCGTCACTCCCGCTTTCTTGCTAAGCTAATATATGTTTCTATTCATCAAGATGTCATGCAAAGAAATGTGGAGACTCTTAAAGCACTAGTGTGACCAGCTGGCCCACATTTGTGTTTTCCTTATCACTTTTTCTCCCTTGATCCCCTCTTGATTTCTTTTCTCTGTTACCCATTGAGCTTTCATGAACCCCTTTTGTCCTCTCTTATCTCCACACTTAAACATCTCATGGTGTCACCATGGTTTCTAAAAGGCTGATCATTTAAATTTTGTGAGCCCTTTAAATCTTTTAATGTAGCATAGAATCGCTGTTGGTAGTCACACGAAGAAAAGAAAAATTACAAAACCAGTATTTATTGATGAAACGATTTCATGTTTTGGGTTTTTTTTTTCTCAGAAACTCACATGAAGATGACCTTCACCACCTGGGTTGGGGTGGCCTGTAACTTCATATTCAAATAACCACAAAGAGAAAAATACACAAGAGACACAGAAAGCCGCAGAGTCAAAACCGGAAAGGCATAACAGTGAGAAGAAAGAATCATGACAGACGCAGAAGCAGGAAACTTCTTATGGACAGGGGCGGATCTAGAGAAATTTTTTTTGGGTTGGCTTGGAATTCAATTGGGTTGGCAATTCAAGGCTTTTTTTTTTTTTAAACACATATGCAGGCCTGACAACAGGTGTATCACTCCTCCTTTCATCATTTTTTTCACCAATAGGAGAGAGGTGGCTTCTTTTCTTTCTTTACTGTTTTCGGGCTGTCCTTAGAAAATGCTTTCTTTAGCATTTCTTCCTGCACAAACGTGATGATAGTATTCAGAAAAAAAGCATTGCTTATGTATGTGTCTGCGTATATATATGTATGTATGTGTGTGTATATATATGTGTGTGTATATGTATATGTATATAATTTAAATTGTAAATCTGGGTTTAGTGGCTTGCCATTAAAATGTAAAACTGGTGTTCACGTTGGAGTCTGAACCTTCAAAACAAGCTGAAATAGAGAGTCAGGGTGGCTGCAGCTTGTTGCTATGTCAGCTTAAATCAGTCATGTGATTTGGAGGTGTGTCGTGTCCTTTGACCCCAGAGGGTTAATAACATTCACCTTCTTTCCATTTCCAAACAACCAACCACTTGTGTGAAATGTGAAATTCCCATGGTGTTGTTCAAAAGGTGCTCTGGCACAGTCATAGGCATCACTTGCTACTAAAAACAAGAAAAAAAACCCCATTTGTTAATGGTGAGTGGGAGGGGGCACTAGGTAATATATTCAGTTTTAGAATTTATATTCAGGGTTAACTGTAGCTATGCTCAAAGTGTTAATGCTATCTTATTATAACAAACAACATCGTCATGTCCAAAACTAGGGTAGCACTAGGGGTGGCAAGAGATCATTTTAGGGTCTTACATGCCACCCCATGCCACCCCTTTAGATCTGCCCCTGCTTATGGATTAACTAGTTTAAAGTATAAAATGTAAAAAAATATTTATTGCTTGATGAAGCTCAGTTTTAAAGACCTTCAGTGTGACCTTCCACCAAGGCAGCTCACTGTCTGGGCATTATTTCCTTTTAGAGCTCAAATGTGACATGATATTTAAAACCCGTGTGTATCATTCCCTATATGCTTGTATGTAGAACAACAACCGTATGAAACATAGTTTTAAAAAGCTCGATATTGATTTACTATGGCTTTAACCATGTCAGAGGTCAAATGTGACATTTTTTGTCAATTTTCCAACAATAAATCATAACATTTAAAATATTACATACAACAGCTATGATGTATATAGACCGAACACACGCTTATGCTACAGGAACAAAATCTTCTTTGGGGAGGTAACATCATCAGACTTAAACTGGTGGAGAACATGAGCCTCTATGTGGAAATGCACAAAAACAAACAGAAGTAGTGATGTCTTTGATGTAGAACACTTAAAGTAGGGGAATTGCTAGGCCACAGTTACACACACGCACACACACACATTGCCCATGTGTTTCTTGTCTTGTGTCTTATAGAGCACATGACATATTTCCTGTTTCAACAGGAAAACGGTCCTGTAAACCAGTCTCATTAGCCCACTGACCTCTTTTCTGTCTCTCTGTGTGTGTGTGTGTGTGTGTGTGTGTGTGTGTTTGACAGGAATGACTCCCCTGCAGGATCCAGTAAGCATCAGACTCCCCGGCTCTCTGCAGATGTTGCTGCAGCAAGTTCTGCAGTGGAAGACCTTTTTGAGGAATTCTGATGTTCCACGTCTGCACCTTATAGACGTAGACAAGACCACAGCAGTGAAATGCCAAGGCATCATATTTTTATTGTGATTGAATGCACCTAGTGCTGTATCTATATGGAAGGATAAAGCACTGCAAAAAAGGCGTTCAATGGATGCTGATGAGAGATGCTTGGTGATTCTTTATAGAGCACTGTAGAGGTTGCTTTTTTATAGTAAAGTACACTAATGACCAATGTTTGGAATAGTAAAATTAAACATGTTTTTACCAAAGTTTACATTAGCTCAGGACTTCTTTGAAATGCATTTTTTCTGATATATTTTGCAGGCTACACATCAACAACTAATTTTGATATTTGTGTAAATAAAAAGTGAAAACAAATAGTTAATGGACTGATTCTTACATAATTTTCTACTCTTCTGGAGCACTTAAGCGAAGCATCTATAAAGCGCTTTTAGTGCTTTCTGTCTAACATTCACACTCCAATGGATACATCAGGGTTAATATCTTGCCCCAGGATATTTGGCAAGCCACCAACCTTTTGATTAGCAGAACTGATCTAACTCCTAAGCCACCGGGCTGTAGCTTAGGACTTGAACAGCCAGGGATCAAACCCACAACCAGTCATCAATACATTTACAATTACTTTATTTTATTTGTCACATACACAGTACAACATATAGTGAACATGCAGTGAAATGCTTGTGTCCTGAACTGCAGACAGGCTGCAGATGTAGCCCCGCCATTCCAGGGCTGGTTTTTAGCAGTAAGGATACCCACCTGGTATCATGTATAATCTGCTTTAGACTCTCATTGTGTATTTTGTCATCTCTAGAGGTTCAGGATAATTCGACTTTAAAGATTTATATGGTTTGAATGAATGCTTGGTGTAATTTTCACACAAAAATAATAAACAAGAAAAAGATTCTCACATTTAATTCAGTGTCACTTTTATAGTGCCTAATCACAACAGCAGTGCCTGATATTGTAAAGACCCTGCATTGATATTCGTAATTTGAACATGAACTGCAGAAGCCCTTGGCTCTCTATTAAAGTGCATAAAACACTACTCCACAGTCCGTACAGATGTTCGGTGAACGTGTGTGCGTTCATGATCTGCTGATTAGCGTTACGGACTCCTCCACAGTGTTGAAAAGTCAATCATACTGATTATTGAGTTAAGACAGTTATTGCCTTGCCCCCCCGGAACACCCTTCATTGTAACCTCCCCCTGCTCTTACTGATACACTTGTCCAGATGTTAACTTGTCGTCACTTAACCGATTAAATACATTGCAGACTGTGTTCCTACAGAGTGCGAGAACAACATTACCAAACAAATCACACTCGTTAAAGGAATATGAGGCAGTTAGGGTTCCAAAGCCATCCCGCCCAGGATTCAGGTCTTTCTGCCAGTAATACAAAGAAAAGTCTCTCCCTTTCCTTCATTTCTCCAAATTCAGCCTATCTATACTTTCCTCTTTCTTGTCCCACTCAGATCTCCTTCCGCCCCCCCAAGTCCCTCCCCGGTTTTTACGTTACTTTAGGGATTGTGCGCTCCTCCTCTTCCCAATATCAAGATAATAACGCGTGCAGAGTGGATTTTAACTTCCAGCCAGACCAGTGAAGTGGGTGAGTACAGTGGTCTGAAAAATAAGCACGCTCACACTCCGCGGATCATTTGGAGTCTCCGGCAGTTTCGTTTGGAAAAGTTTTAAGTGATCAACCCGAAACGAGCCAGCTGGACTGTGGATACACTTCCAAGGTTGTATTACATTATTATAATTATAATAATAATCATAATCATAATAATTATGATTATTATTATGTTTTCTCCGTGGCTCACCTGATGTTAACTAAGGGTAATATTTGTGTGGTTATTTAGCGATATTACTATAATGTCAGTGTTTTATTCCCATATCAGGAGCTGCTTTTTAGGTGACGGGAATGTTCCCACACTAATAGAGCCAAGTGATTAGATACTCATTGATAAAATTGAGCCAGGGACCAATTACGTCCCCTCAACCAGCTGATCACTTGATAAGCGGTATCTCTGCGGCAGCCTCAGTAAAGCCCTGGGACAGCTCTTACCACACACGTGGTCTCAGAAGCAGCGCTTTTCTCTTGTTTTTGAATTATTTTTTAATAATAATAATTATGCAAACTAGAGCTATGTAAAGCATTAAAGCAAAACCTAAATGTGATTCACCGACACGAAGTGTCCTGATAAGATTAAGAAAAGTTTCTCAGTTATTCATAATTACTCAGAGACAGTTAACTTTATGAATTAATTTATTTTTATTTAACGTTGAAATAGAACAAATAGTACTTTATATAGTCCAGGTAATGTGAATTCCAGACATACATGTCCTAGTTCATGCAATAATGGAAGAAAATTGGGAAAACATGTTATTCCATTATGTCTGTTCATTTATTTTAGCTAACTGTGATTCAAAACTGTAG